ATGAATTAATTTTAATTTACACATGTTATTGCAATATATAAATAGTAAAATACAGTTTGTATAATTAAAGTTTGCTATTTGAATATATTTTAATAATATAAATATTTAAATTATTCTAAATTGTTGTAATCATAAATTATGTATTTAATTATATATTATTTTCATGTTTTTAATATTAAAAATGCAATCTATTTATTATATATTTTAATTTATGCAATAACATTTAGAACATTTACGGGGATTTCAATAATTTTCTCACAAACAATACAAATGTACATGTAATAATTATTTACATACATTAGGAATAAACACTATTAAATATTTTTTCTAGGTTAGTGTTATTTAAATTTTCTATGTTTTAGTCCAAGTAATGGACTTTAAAAATGCATTTGCGAGCCAACACTTAAGTTGTTTACGACATACAGTATATCGATTTGTACATACAATTAATTATTTTATTTGTATATAAAATAATTATATTTAAATAAAATATATAAAAATTTATATCATTTGGAAAACAAATTAGATAATAGTTATAAAATGCGAAAATTATGAATTGAATTATAGCCAGGGATTCTCATGTTGAAATGTAATAGTAAATAGTCAACACTGAACAAGTTATAAATATAGCAATTTATAGACCGATTCATATTTGCTAGCATTAGTCATGCTATAACTAAAGTATAACCTCACTATACAAAAGTGGCACATAAATGGCCCCTGCGCGTTTTAGTGATTATGGCCTTTTTAAATTATGAATTGAGTGAAATTTCTAACAAAACTAGCATTCAATGCAAAAATATAAACTACTCTTTACTTACGTACATAAAACTTATACAATTTAATTAAATATAATTAATTAATAAAAACAATAATAAGCAATAATAATAATAATAAGCACAATCCATTTAATATTATATTGTATAAATGATTAATTAACTGTTTAACAATTTTAATCAAATCTACATTAATTGGTCATAACAGAATATTTTTAAAATTGCTCAAGAAGTTCTGGTTTAACAACCATGGAAATGACCTGGATCATCAAATCGTTTACCATCTGAACATTGTAAATTTTTAAACCGTTTAAATAAGTTATTCTGTTTGAGCCAATACGAGCGACAGTCCGAACAATTGAAACCCGTATCCGAGTAATAAAATTCAATTGTGTTTAAATTGTTTTCAATAAAAAACATGTAAAATATATCATTTGGAAAGTATACAAATTCACCATGTCCAATTGTCAATTTGGTGGGTCTATTAAGGCCAGTGAGGGCACCATGGTCAAATGAAGTCAAATTATCACAATTCAAATATTGTGAATTAGGATTTATTTACATATACTATTATATTATTATTTTTTAAAAATTATTTTTTAATACTTACAATATAGAGAATTCATCATGTTGAAATAATATAAACTCTTTACAACAGATTTTAGTATTTGTTAATTTATATAGACACAATAAAGGTTGACATTTAAATCACTGCTCATACAATTCAAATGATTAAATTATAACTGTTTTCACAAATTAAGTTTTTTTTATCTTAAATTACTTTATATCTTTTAGGTTTTGACATTTAGATCTCAATACAGTGAAACCTCTGTGCTGTGAACCTTCTATGCTATGAAGTCCTTTATGATATGAACCAAATCCCAAAACCATTCAGCATAAAATTAACGGTAAAATAACCTCTATTTTGTTAACCCTCTATTATATCAAATAAATCTCGCAAAATAGTTCATAATTATAAGAATTTTATTTCTGACAAAATCGAGTTTATAATCATTGTTTAATATTTTTATTTAAAAAATTGTCCTCAAATTACACTTTTATAATCGTAACAAAATTCAAAATGACCAGGGTCATCAAATGGTTTTTCATCTGAACATTGCAAGTTTTGAAACTTATTAAACAAGTTATTCTGTTTGAGCCAATACGAGCGACAGTCCGAACAATCAAAGCCTGTGTTTCCGTTCAACAATTTAATAGTATTTTTGTCATTTTCAGTGAAATACGGGTAAAACACTTGTTTAGGGAAATACACAAAATGTCCAAATGATTGAATGATCATGTGTGTGGGTCTATTGATGCCACTCAAAGCACCATGGTCAAATGCAGTTTCATTTATAGCTGGCCCACTACCTAAAATTATTTCTAAAGTAACATTACTAGGTTTATCGATTGCGAACGCATTGGGCATTATGTGGTCAATTGTGTTCGAAGGTCTAATGTCAAGCTGTGTTAAACCAGATAAACATCTGAATGCATTGCTGCCAATAGTTTGTTCATTTGACCAAAGGCCTATAAAAGTAACTTTAGGTAAATCACAGTCTTCAAATGCTCCTATGGGCACTATGGTGAATTTAGAATTAAAATTTTCCGTTAACCATTCGGCGTTAGTGAATTTGCGCATCACTTTATAAATTGCATCAGGCTCTAATTTACTGTTAAATTCAAAAGATATACGACTCGTTACATTGTACGTAAGCATGAATGCGTCAGGATGTATATGCACCAGGTTTGTTTTTAGTATTGCAATTTGGTCAAATGTGATATCCATAAAAGTGTTTGCCTTTATTTCACTCACTTTTGTGTTATTAAATATGAAGTGATGGAAATGTTTTTGTTTTGGTTCTAACGTTAAACTCAATTGATTAAACATTTCTCTCAAATCCATATCAATATCTCCTTCGCATACAATGTAATTGTATTGACAGCCTCTGCAACCATAGGGTACTAATACACTCGGATCCGGGCATTCGCCGTAAATAAACTGGACATTTCCATAAATTAAAGTTAGCCAGGTTATCTCTAAGAAATAACATCTGTTATTTAAATATCAATAATTGTAAATAATATTTTATTGTAGAATTTATTAAATTATTATTTATGCTTATTTAATTAGTACTCACTTAATATTATATTCATTATTAATGTTTAAGGAACTAGTCTTGAGATATCATAAACTATATTACAAAACTATTACAAACTATTTTACGTGTAACATTTATATATTTGGTAATAATATTGGTTGACATTTAAATTAATGATAATTATTATCAAATCATTTTCAAACAATGATTTATTGTTATCTTAAGTTGTGATATTTAAGTAAAAGTTGACATTTAACTTACAATTAAAATATAATTGTTTAATATATAATAAGTTTTTTAAAATAATTTATTTAATAAAATATATTGAAATTCATTATTAAGGGTGCCCAATCCTCAATTAAAAGCCATTTTTAATATAAAAATGTTGTAATTATACAGGTAGACATAAATAAGAAAGAGAACACTAATGCTATGTATTTATTTTATTAATTATTTAGACAAATGAAACACTGTTGATAACGTTTATTGATGGAATTATAATTCAATATTTATAAATTTATATTTAGCCATGATTTGACACTACTTGTAAAAAACTATATTAGAAATATCATAATTAAAAAATATTGATATTTTGATTAAATTTAAGCAAATAAAAGTTGTCTGATATCTAAAAATTATAATGTACAAACACTTATAAATCAATAAAATGCCAAGGTTGGATTATGTTTATCAGTGATTTAAATGTCAACTTATATTATATAAATAAACAAACAATAAAATCCATTTTATAACACGGCTTACCCTATATCAGAAAGGTTTTCTCGATTTAAATAATAATAATGAATACAATAATTTGTGAGTGTTAAATAAATGATAATTTTAAATATGATTCAATATTATAAAATTTAACTATTATAAAATTATTCTATAGAGATAACATGGATAATTTTTGTTTATGGAAATATCCAATTCGTGTATAGCGAATGTCCGGACCCAAGCGTATTAGTACCCTATGGTTGCAGAGGCTGTCAATACAATTACATTATATGCGAGGGAGATATTGATATGGATTTGCGAGAAATGTTTAATATACTAAGTTTAACGTTAGAACCCAAACAAAAACATTTTCATTTATTTCACTTCAATAACACAAAAGTGAGTGAAATAAAGGCAAACACTTTTATGGACATTACCTTTAAAGAAATTATGATTGACTCAACAAACTTGATTCATATTCACCCTGATGCATTTATGCTTACCTACAATGTTACTGATATGTTTCGTTTCGACCGTAATAATCAATTGGAACCTGATACAATGTATGAGGTGATGGGCAAATTTACCAACGCACACTTAATAGAAGAATACAACAATCCAAAATTTACCATGGTCCCCGCAAGCGCATTTGCCAATGCTAATCTGCCCAAACTAACCAATTTATTTCTTATGTCATGTGAACAATCTATAGGAAGTCATGCGTTTAGAAGTCTATCCGCATTAAAATACATTGAATTGTTTGACAACGATAAGTTAAACCATATAATGACAAATGCGTTCGCTATTGACAAACCTAGTAATGATACATTACATATTGCACTATGGGGAGATTCTATAAACGAGAGTTCATTCGAGCAAGGTGCTTTGACTGGCATTAATCGTCCGGCAAAACTTGCATTTGATACTGCGGTTCATTTGGTGTATTTAACCGAACATGTCTTCCATCCGTTTTTTACTGAAAATGATTTAAATTCTGTTGAATTCATACAAAATATTACAGGCTTTGATTGTGAGGATTGTCGCTCGTATTGGATCAAACAGAATAACTTATTCAATAGGTTTAATACATTACAATGCTCCGATGGCAAACTATTTGATGATCCAGGACATTTTCAATATTGTGACGCTTATAAAATTAAAACTTGAGGAAAACTTTTTATAAAACCTTTTATAAAAGTTGTTAACAATTATAAACTTAATTATATCTGAAATAAATTCTTTTAATTATACTTATAGACTTTTTTTACTTGGTAATTATTAACAAAATTATTGAATTAATAATCACTTAAAGCAATAAAACAATTGAATTAATAATTTGTTTTAGAAATATAGTAATGACATATTTTAGTTATTATTTATTTTACTTATTTATTTAATTATTAACTTAAAAAACTTCTAAAAAAATTAATAAAATTAATAGTTAAAAATATTACTATTACAATAATAAAAATTTATAAATTTAAAAAGATGTTGACAATATAAATATTACTATTCATAATATAAAAATTGCAAACATTTAAGTAATTAATAATATAATGAGACTTAAGCATTAAAAAATTATTTTTATAAAAATAAGGCACTGTTATAACTGAATTAAAATGGGATGAATTAATGAGCAATTAACTCCGGCCAAAATACCCAACAATAGGGCCAAACAGGCCATCATTCCGGCGGTGGCGGAGTGCCGGTGGGGTACACAACGGGGTGCGTACATCATACACATACTGGTCAGGTAACCAAACGACAGGGTCATCGCAACCGTACCCCCGATATAATACCAGTCATTATCAAACACCACCGGCAGGTGTCGGTCAATAGTTCCGGGTCTGTAATTACAGTATAGGAAAAACGGTATAAACAGTAGGCGTAGGGCACACCACACAAACAGGTATCGCGGCCCCGGCCTCTGTATAATTTGGGCCAAACTGTTGCCACACGTGACAAACACGTTGAAAAACAGGAAACAAAAAGTGGGCACAAAATAGCGCTCGCTAATCATGTGGTTCAGGGGCCGGATGTCTGCCATTAGGGCCGGGAATATGCATAAAGTGCTGAACGATGTGATGAAAATGTTGAGCAATTGGTGCCAAGTCTTGCCGAACACGTATCGGTAGAGTACGAGTCCCTCCATGTGTTGGTCACCCTCAGCATCACCGGTAGTGTCACCACTCATGCCATGCGATTCCGGGGGACAGTTATCGTCGGCAACGCTATCGGCGCCGGATTTGCAGTCGAGTTCGCTGTGATATACATAGAAATCCTATGAGAAAAATACAATAATTTAAGACCCCATAAGACATCACCACAAGAATCAGTTATTGAATTATAATTACATTACTGTTGAGTTTGTACTGCAATACCAGACACACGACAATCATAACCAACGCCAGCGAGAAGTATATAATGCCGATGGCGTGCGGGGAGGGGGACAGGGCTATGGACACCAGCATAAACACGGCCACAATGACCCCGCTCAAATTGTTGCCCAATAGAGTGGCATTCATGTACTCCGGGGGCAGTTTGGCGGCCGCCCCGCTATAACAACTCTGCAACACACCTACAGCGGCGTTAATGACAACGGCGGTGACCATGGTCAACCAGAAAAACCCTACAGGCCAGCCGCTGGTGTCCGCTATGGCCAGTCCTATGGTTGTCACAAATACCACGGCCTGCAATAGAAATGCCATAGATATGCGGGTGGATAGCGAGCCATGGCTAACGAGGTGATTTTTAAAATAAATATTATTTCATAATGGTGTGTATTTTGTTTTGCTTACGATGTTCTACCAAACAAGTTGAGCGCCTGGAGTACAACATTTGGTGAGATGGAAGCAATTCCCAGGTATGCCAAGAAGTTGGTCTTATAGTTGTCGAGTGCGGCCACAGTTGTGGCACCGGCTGTACTGTCCGTCACATTTAGTTTGTAATCAACGAAATACTATGAATTTATAGCAGAAATAACATGTGTTTTATTTTAAAGTTTTTATTGAAATATAGATCTAATGCTTATCGTTAAATAAACTATTGATTACTGTTTTTACTGATTATTGATATCGTAAATATTGAAGTGTTTTGATATATTATCTAAAGATTTGCTGGTCATCGACATAAGACCAACTTCTTGGCATACCTGGGAATTGCTTCCATCTCACCAAATGTTGTACTCCAGGCGCTCAACTTGTTTGGTAGAACATCGTAAGCAAAACAAAATACACACCATTGAGAGAGAGAGAGAGAGAGAGAGAGAGAGAGAGAATGTTAAAATAAACTAGAACTAACTAACAATATAATTTAACTTAATTTAATTTATAATTTATAAATACATACACTGTCAGCATTAATAAGCATATTCCATGGCAATAATGTACCAATGCCATTTATTATAAATATTATATATACTGTGTTGAATCTATGTTGAAACAAGTTATAAATTTAAATAAAAATAAGATGCTGCTGTTAAACAGTCAACAAACCTATCCCTTGGATTATCCATAGTTTATAAATTACAATGTATACAAAATTATTAATGAATTAAAATAATACAATATAATAATACAAATAAAACTGGTAAAAATTATCAAAAATACACACTGTGAAAATTATATTTAAAAAAATTTAAGAAAACTCTTGATTTAATAAAACTCACATTTGGTTTAAAGTGATGTTTAATGAAAATATTTCAACATTTTTTTTGTCAGATTAGATCGGATTCACACAAACCCTCCGCTTATATAAACAAATTGATTATTTTATTTTCAATTTGACGCTAATGTCTGGCATTTATATGTTTATCACATTTCTTGGATTTATGTCAACTATTTTGTTGCCTTCGGATACTCGGGTGTAAACCGGTGTCCAAGAGGTGACACACAAAACAACAATTGTGTACTTTATTAACACTTAACATACAATTAAACTTAATAACAAAAATTATTTAAAATGTCTACGATTTGCAGATAGTAAAGATTTTATTGTATTAAATTATGCGATATACTATCTGCATATATTATTTTATTATTTGATTGCAAGGCTCAATTTCATGCTATTAATATTTAAAGAATATTTCAATTACCAAGGACATTAAACAACAGGATATTAATTTAGGCAACATATTATTTTATATTTAATTAGATCCGTTGTGAAAATATCTAGACTAATCAAAAACAATCAAATAATAAGTTATTATTAATATTATAATAATTATTATTATTAATAACTATTAAGAAATATAATTGTTTATTATAAACATAAATACGTTTTACATTAAATTAATAACTTAAACAATTCATTAAAAACAGTTACATCTAAATAATTAAATAAAATTAAAATAATTTATTAAAAAACAATTACAAAACACATGATTTGATCGTCAAACATTAAATAAAATAACATTTAAACTATAATAAAAAAAAATAATTAAACTAATAAACATCAAGCAATAAAATTGCCTACAATTTAACTAACATGGGGTAAACCAACGAAAAGTTAATGCCCAACAAAATGCCCAAAATAATGATCAATGCGGCCATCATTCCTGCAGTTGACGCATACTTCTGGGGCACAGCTCTCGGCGTATACATAATGGCCAGCGAAGACAAATAGCCAGAGCTGGTGGCCATTGTAACGGCCGTCACAATATAAATCCAGTCATTTTTAAACACCACAGACAGAGTGCGGTTCACATTATTGGGCCGATAGTTGCAGTACAGGAAAAACGGTATGTATAGCAGCCTTAACAGTACAAATATGGTCACGTACTTAGGGCCGGGCCTCTGGACGTATTGGGCGATACCATTGCCAATAGTGGCAAAGAGGTTGAACAGTAGGAAACAAAACACCGGCGAATAGTATTTCTCGTCAATCATACCGTTCAGTGGCTTAATGTCGGCCCAGAGGGCCGGGAATATACTTAACGATACAAAGTATATGAGCACAATGTTTAACAGTTGCACCCAGGTCTTTTTTAGCACGTATTTATATTGGTAGATACCCTGTAGGTCAGGCTCTGAGGCAGTGGTAGAGGTGTCGGCGCTCACATCGGCGTTAGACTCCAATTTCTTGTTCATATTTTTCATATCCTCGTAACTAATCTCCGACTCGACCTCTCTCTCCGTGTGATAGACATAGAAAATCTGTTATCATATAAAACAAAACACAGAATATTCTGTTAAAATTTCAGTCAATAATACTATTAACTAGACTTTGTATTAGTCTAGAGAAATAGGATCGGGGTATTATCAGTTGTGTGATGGCATGAGGGGATGATGGTGGGGGTGTGGGGGCAGGGGGTAATTACAAAATGATATATATTTACATACATTGTTTTTGAGATAAAACTCAGAGACTAAACATATGGTGAGCATCACTACAGCGCAGGCGAAAAATATAATGGCGGCCACTTTGGCCGACGGCGAAACCGCAATCGATATAATCATAAACAGCGAGGCTATTGTGCCGCTCATATTCATGCCTATTGTTACAGCGTTGGGGTACCCCATGGGCAGTTTGGCCGCCGCCCCGTATACGCAGCCCTGGTATACACCGTTGGCAACGTTGATGACTGCGGCCGAAAGCATTGTGACCCAGAAAAATACGTCCGGCCATCCCGTGCTGTCGATCACCGCCAATATTATTGTAAATACAAATACCAGAGATTGAACAATAAGTGTGACTGATATGCGTATGGATAGTGAGCCATAACTGTAGGTAATATAATTTTAATTATGGTAAAAATTTAGTATTTATTGTCTTGCATTTTAATTTACAAAATTTTTGTTTTTATTTTTGCAAAATAATCCCAAATGATTGTAAATATAATTATCTGATATTGATTTATTTCTCAATTGCTTGTAATTTAATAGAAAATAAGTGATGGATTTTTCAATGGAAAGATTATTGAAATTTTATTTATTTTATTAATATTCCTAATTGATAATAAGAATAACTAGGTCAATAACATTAGCTAATACAATATTTCCACTGTATTGTAGTATCCGTACTAAATCTTTAACAGCTAAATTAGATATGCATAATAATACACTTGAAAATTATTTACTAAACACTTATACCTAAAAATTCATTTAACACTACAAAGTCTACAAATTGTTTTTATGTTTACATAGATGATCATTGATCAATGTTATTAATCCGGTATTGTAACATCTTATATATTGTACATTGTATATTTGCACACATACCCAGTGTTGGCAAACAAATTGATAATCTGTAACAAAATGTTTGGCGCTTTTGATGCGATTCCCAGATATGAGAGAAAGTTTGTCTTATAGTTATCAAGACTTGGCGTAGAGTTTGTGACATTCAGTTTGTAATCAACGAAATACTGGTTTAATTAAAATGTTTTAATTATTTATAAATCATTTTATCATTCATTGAGTTTTGATTTCAGTATTTTTGCGTTTTTTCAAATATTTTTATGAAATTATTGTTTTTATCAGTAGTTTTCCCAATAAAATGCCTATTTATTAAAATTTTAATCACTTCTAGTTAATACGCAAAAATAATATTTATTTTGATAAATTATCTATTATAAAAATTAATTAGTCATTTAATAAAAAGTAAAATATTTATTGATATTAACCATATTATTTGATATGATCAGTTAGCAACTAGTTGGTTTAATAAAATGTTTGTTAACATGAAATTAACTGAATTTTGAACTAAAAGTAAAAGTTAAATAAAATTTGAATTTTCACAAAAATCACTCAATAATTTCATGTTAAACTAATACAATTTAGCTATTAATTACAGTACAATAAACAAGTAAATAGTACAGTACACAAATAAAAATAACTTAAATGTAGACGGTTATTTAAATGTCAATTGACTTACACTATCAGCATTGATGAGCATATTCCAGGGTAAAAGTGTGCCGATGCCATGAAATAGCAATATAATAAACACTACGTTAAATCTATATATGGTTAATTAATCCATTAATTATAGCACAAATCAATTAAATAATTACTATAATTGCTAATAAATAAATAAAAACAGTAACCTATCGTTGGGAGGCATTGTTGTTGACACCACTGTTCAGCCACGAGTTAATCAAAAACAAATATAAACAACAATCACTTTATAAATCACATTAAATAAAAATAATTTTTACAATTATAACTAGTAATTACACTAATTAAAACATTAGAAAATTATTATATATACTGGCATTTCAATGGATAAATAGCTGAACACTAAATGTCGAGATAATTGTTGGCAAAATATCTATCGGATTATTACAATAATACGTTGGGTTTTACAAAGAGTGACTGATTAGCACCACTGACTGATAGCACATACCATCTCATCCGCAATGAGATAATTTGTGCGTTAATTAACTCATCGATAACTATATAAATATAAAATACATATTAAATATATAACACATAATAATAATAGCGTCAATTCAGATCCTATTCAATAACATGTGTTAAGTGCCACACAATTACATAAATATTTATGTGATTTATTAGCAAAAATACATATGAAATTTGAAATTAATGTATTAATTAAAAGTTAAATTAGTAAATATTTTTGCCGTTTAATAAAAATCACAATAAGTTTATTAGTAAATGATTAATGTGTTTATCAAATGGTATTGCAATTAAAAGTACTTACTTATAGATAATAGTGGGTATTAAATGTGAAATTAGATTTAACTGTATCAAAATTTTATATGCATTAGGTCATACAGATTTATTTTAAATGACAAGTTATTCACAATATTATAAGTTGTAAAATTATTAAGTTAATTTTTTTGTAAATAAATCAAACACAGTGTAGTTTAAATTATTGATAACTTTTGTCGCTATTTTATAAATAAAAATAAATCTTGGTTTCAATTAAATGACATTCATGGAAATGTGTGACAATATTTTCCACTCGCATTAAATACATACAAAGTTTTGATGCAATGATTTTGATTGAATGCCGCAAATGTTAAATACAAACATTATCTCAACCAAAGTTATATTTTAATCGTTTTTATCATATGTTTGTGTTTTTTATTTTAAAAAATTGATATAAATATGAGTTACTTTGAAAGTGTATGAGAGTGAGAGAGAGAGAGAGAGAGAGAGAGAGAGAGAGAACAAATCAATTTTTAAATTATAACGAATTGTCATATAATTATTAACTTATCATCATAAATAATTAAACGGTTTTCAAAATAGAAACTTACTTGTTACTTTGATTTGCGTGGCTCACGGGTAACGCATCGTAGATGTACTCGGGGTTCGCCAAACACTCGGTAGCGTACGATTGGTGATACACACTGTCTATGGCTACTGTACTGCAACTGGGTTTGTGGTCTTCAAGGGTGACACTGTATTGCCGATGCCTCGGCGTTGGACACGAGTACTCGCCTGCACTGCACTGTTAGGCCAACATTTACGATAATACTATTCATTCACTCAAGAACTGCCACAATCAAAGGGTACTATTTAAACAAGATTGAAATCCAGTCGGCACAAAATGATCACTTATATACTGTGTCTGGGGCTCAGGTTTAGGTTAGAATTTGTAGTGTATAAGGTGTTTGTAAAATATGGGGTGAGATTACATTTTTAACAAAGAGTAATTGTATTCTTAAATCTTGCATCGT